TCTGTGTGCAACGACTATTGTTGTTCTTTTTTCCATGACATTGTCAAGTGCTTGCTGAACAATCTTCTCTGATTCGGCATCAAGAGCGCTCGTTGCTTCATCTAAAAGTAATATCTTTGGATTTCTTAGAACCGCCCGAGCAATTGCAATCCTCTGTTTCTGTCCTCCCGAGAGCTGAGTTCCTCCTTCTCCAACCTATTTATAATGGTTTGACCAATAATTAAGGAAGTGGGAATATATATGTGAAGATGAGTATGAAAATTCGGATAATTTACCTGAGTATTGTAACCATTTGGCAATGATTTAATGAAAGAATCTGCGTTGGCTGCTTTAGCAGCTTCTATGATCTGATCCATACTCGCCTTCTCTTTACCGAGAAGAATATTGGAAGCTATAGTCGTGGCAAATAAAGCTGGTTCTTGACTCACTAATCCCATCTGTTCTCTTAGCCATTTCAGCTTCAGGTTCTTGATGTCATTTCCGTCCAAGAGAATCTTCCCTGAGTTAGGTTCATAGAAACGTTGCACCATTGATATGATTGTGCTTTTCCCTGAACCACTTGGACCGACAAATGCAAAAGTCTTGCCTGAATGTATTGTGAAACTAAGATTCTCAAAAACCATGTTTGGTCTAGAAGGATATGCGAAAGACACTCCACAAAACTCAATCCTCCCAACTACGTTTTGCAATGTTGTTCCATTGTCTAGTCTCTCAAAGCTTTCAAGATTGTTGCTTCCTATCATTCTGAAAATATTTGCAGCAGCAACTCTTCCTTTGGAAATTGCGGATAAGCTAGGCACGGCTTGACCTAAGGCGCTGCAAGTGTAAGAAAATGATTTATATGATGCACTTTGTGATAAATATAAAAAAATTCTCGGATTTTTGGAACATACAATCCACTATAAATGACATTAAGGATCGTTGTGAAGGCTTTTGCGCCGTTGGTTTTGCCGTGGCGTACAAGAAGACTTGCATACCAAAAAAGCAATGCCCAAGCGCAGAACAAGAGGCTATATGTTAATCCAACTCCTAAGCCTTTAGCAAGACCACTTCTTTTACTGAGTTTGAGAGCTTTCTTGAGAGAATTTGAATAAGATTTTACAGCTTTCTCTTCTCCTACAAATGCATACACTGTTCTCACTTGTGACATGACCTGATAATCCATAGAGAATTGTTTTTTTCAGGATCAATCCAAGTGTTAAGAACTGAATAAAAACAGATCTAGGTCTTGATTTTTTTATTTGTGTTTGCTTTGATTTACCATTTTTTAGCATTTTATACAAAATTATGTTGTTAGTTCTTAAACACAAACTCCAAACGTAAGCAAGGCCTTCGGCGTTTGCCATTACAATTTGCAAAAATATTTTGTGAAACACTGAAAATATTATTTTCTTGTTTTGTTGTGAAAACTTTTTTCACAAGTAAACGCATATATTAGTTCTTTGAAACAATCTCAGCCTTGGTGTATAAAACAAACCTCTTCTGCGACTTTTCCTGCATCAGCATAAGCAGCTTCACTCTTCTCTGAGATTGTAGACATGACTATAGCATAGCCTCCTCCTGCAATTGCTATCAATGGAACCACTCCCAACGTGAGCAACGTTAGTTGCCATACCGACAAAAAACCGATGACAAATCCCGCGATGAACTGACATAAGTACCGCAAAACATGGCCGGTCTGAAACAAAACAAAACATTAAATCAATTACAAATTTTTGTTTTGTGGTTAAAATTAAGGATTAGAAAGGGTACCTTATCGCCAATTGCATCTTGAACCAAGATTGCGTCGCTTGAGATGTGGAAAATGAAGTTTGAATCTCTAGCTTCAGTATCGAAGAAAGAAATGTCTTTTGCTAAAATTGATTTGAGATAATTTATACGCAATCGCGCTGTTTGTCTTTCCCCTGTTTGCATCCAACAAGCAACTCCTGCCAATAAACCATTCCAACTGTAAACATGAAATACAGTTTTTGGTAACACTATAAAAACAGATCAAGTAGCTAGACACGTACCGATCCAGGCCGATACCAAATTGACCAATCCTAAGTAGACTAAGTACAGAGCATTCTTGAAAAGACAAACAACAAAAGTGTTATCAACTTATGTCCAAAAATCAGGAGAGAAAATATATATCGGTTTCTGAAGAAACCTGTGAAACGCGGGAAGATATGGCATTTGGGTCAGTAGAAAAATTCCCAAGAGAATCTAACATGCCCCCGAAGAACACGAAGAAGAGCGGAAGCGTACCGCCATGAATACACGTGCCTAAACCGCCAAGAAACATGAGAAAACAATCAACATTATCTGCTGCACTAAACAAACCCATCAATGACACTGATTCCTTCTTCATATTTTTCTTCTCCTCCTTCTTTACTTCTGTCTCAGTATGGATGTTTCCATTAGAGGGTGGTTCTATGTTATCCATTCACTTAACACAGTTACTAAAACAGGGAGGTACTTGAGAGCGTAGAGGAGCAGAGAGATATTTAGGGTATTGGGTTTCTTGTAGGAAAAAAAGGGGTAAAAATGGAAAATATAAACAAGATTCACTTGCCTCGCTCATTTAATACCATCATCGTTCTACCTAAATTTTTGACAAGTCCAGATCCGCCGGCCGTAAGTTGACCATAACGAGTTCGTCTTTATCTTTTTTTAGAAAGTGTATACGTTAATCATGCACTTATATACTATTTAATTAAGTTTATATCCCATTTTTTTTATCACAAGTTTGCCGTTTTATTTAAAACGAAGCTTCTTTGTGACTGCATAATTTTCTTTTGTAGTATACAATAATGTAACTTGTAACTTAATTTATTTATGGTTCAGCTCCATGTGTTCGTTCACCTCGAACATCGATTTTTGGAGAGTTTATTAAAAGACTGGCACTAAAATATATATTATCGCTTCTGTTTAATTTCTGTAGTGGCAGATAACTGATGTTTTCGAAATAAGTAATTAGTCTTTTGCAAATCTACCTGAAGACTAAACCTATTTGTAGTTTTTGTCCATAAGAATTGATACTTACTTTTTATGCTTTCTATTGTCAACTAAAATTAAATTACAAATGAATTTATTGATTGGCTTTTCCAATCTCAAGTATAGGCTTTGAATGGATGTTATAGAACAGACTAAATAGTTAGCGGAGTAAACCATTTTATTTTTGGATGGACAGTAATGAAACAAAATTTTGTATGTGAATGTAGTTTTGGTTTGCACCGAAGAATTTCATTTTCTGTCCGTACCATTACAATTTACATATGGAAAGCTAATCGTGAATCCACAAATGGTTTTAATGTATATATTATATGCTGGATCTATTCGAAACAATAGTTAACTGCAAAAGATATAGGCATAGAAAATGGGGGTCATTGAAAAATGTAGATACATGCATAAATGAAGATACTTGCCTCTAATATTACTTAGTTATACGTCGGCTCTCTTATTTGACCTGGATAAATTAATTGGTCACTGAAAAATGTAGATACATGCATAAATGTATACAATTTATTATACAGTTTCACGCCACACGTTAACTTTCAAATTGAAGGACCACATCTTTTAACTACTGTGGCGGGCAACCCACGTCCACCACCCAGGGCCGGCGCAGACGGCAAGCCACCGAAGCCACCGATTAGGGCCTCAAATAATTTAGAGACAACTACAACATTTTTTTTAATGGTAAAAATCTAATTTAAAAGAATTTTATAGCTTTAATTTTGCTTAGGGCACCCAAATTTACCAGGACGGCACTGCCACCACCAGTGCAACCCAAATTCAACTCTCACATGTTCCAATGTTCCATGAAATATTTTCTTTTAGTGGGTCTGCTTGTACTTTTTGGAAATTTAAATGGTGTACAGAAAATTATACCCCTAAATAGAAAAATCTTGCTTAGTCATTTACGTAGCATGACATACAACCTTGGCGATAAAAAGTTCCATCGAAGAAGAGGATTACCATAGCTCTCAGAATCACTAGATCCATCATAACAAATTCATAAACCCTCCTCTGAATAGAGAATCAATTAATAAAAATATACATTTTCCACCAAAGAATAAAGTGAATTATTAACTCATTGTCGAATGTATTTAAACAAAGTTGTGGGCAGTTTTTTTTTTTTTTTAAACGTTATGGGCAGTCCACACTTGGAGCTACCTCTTTCTATTTGTTAAGGTGTTATAAACTCAGATAGAAAATGGAATCAATAACAAAATTAGCAATTGATTGACTTTTGCATTGCTCATTGACTTCTATTTCTCTGTTAACAAACGGACATTGCATGGAAGATTGGGGCAGATAAAGCACATTTTAAAGTTATCTTTTCCAAGGAACATTTATTTGTAGTATTTTTTAATAAACTAGTAATAAATTAGTGTTAATATTATACCTTTATGGTACTTTAAATATTTATGTAGAAACAAGTATATCCAAGTTCATGATTAAATATTTATCATAATTGACAAAATTCATGATTGCATAACTATATCCAAGTTCTTAGATGTTTACAATACATCCTAAGCTTCCTAGATACGAACGAACAAATTGGCTTGATATATATATATAGCTAGAGTCGAAGGACTCCTTCATCATATACTCTTAAACTCTCCCGTGAGTGGTTGGAGGTCCTTTTCTGAACTAACCACTAGTATTTTTGAGTCTCAATAAATGTCTCATCGACCATATTAGCCTTTTTCGGGATAATACTGAATTTGGTTATTATAGTACGCATCAAATTCCATCCATTTTCAGTAATGTAAATTAAGCTTAATTTAAAATATATATATATATATATATATATATATATACACTACAACAAATATCCACATTGATAGCACAAGAGGATAGCTCATTTTCCGTAACTGTTATAAAAAATGAATTTTTATTTTAGTTATTGTACAATAGCATTGAAACAACGCTAAGATATAATATCACTAAACGGGAAGCTAAAATGACTTATTCCGCCAATATTTAGTAAGCGCCTACACTTGTGAAAAAACACAATAAATTTCCCTTTACTTGTTTATAGACGAAAATAAAGAATAAGTTTTGAGCGAAAAAAAGAGAGCCTAGAACAGCTCTCAAGGAGCAACCATCTTCTCCATCTATCCACGATGGCTCTGATCTACTCCTCCACCGTCTCCGCCGCTATGGCTGAACCATCTCCCCCAATCTCCTCCTCCCCCTCAGCCACCTCCTCCCTCCACCTCCGCTTCCTCCGACCCAGCTCACCCAAACCCTAAATCACCTTCGATCGAACCTTCATGCCTCTCTTTCTTATGAAACTCGAATTGAAGATTCGTTCTCTTCGTGGTCTCAACAAGCCTAAGTATATTCAATGCGGAAACGTCGCTCTAGGTAAGACTATTTCTCTCTTGCGCTTCTACACATTTTTACGATTTTCTTACATCTGGGGATTTTCGATTTCGATTGCATAGTTGGAAATTTTGAGGCTGATTCGTGAGTTTTAAATCAGATAGAATCGAAACTTCGGTTTAATTTAGGGTTTTTAAGTTTCAGGTTTGGATTTGGGGGTGAATCTTTTCTCTTTTTCATGTTTTTTGCCGAAAGACCACTCATTGATGTTCTGTACACTTGAGGATATCAGAGAATTACGGGAAATGTAACCAAGTGAATACCAGATATTCACAAAGCCATTGATGTAAGTGTGTTTTTATCCACTAGGCATTAAGCCATGATTCCATGTGATTTTCCTGATGTGTTTGATTCTTTATAGACTTTTATACTTTCATATACTAACGTTTTACTCAAATCGGATCGTAGAATGTGTATAAAGGAAGGAAGATGAAGACTATCGAGTATTTGGCCTGCAAGAGTGTCGACAAGTCGCAGAAGAGCAAGGGTTTTCATGAGGTAATCATGAAATCAGTCTCCTCTTTTCCAAATTAGTGATTTATGCTTGGGTTACCTGCGATTATGTTGAATTTCATGATTTTAAGGTGTTTATAACTGGATTGTGACGGATTCACTATAAATTTGTCAATGAATCTTTATTTTTTCACAATCTCTGATTTTTTGAAGTGACTTGGATGTTGAGAATTTTGGTAACTATGCTCTTCTTTTCATGTCAGGATCCTTCACTCACTAAATCATCCAAACATACTCAAGTTCTATGATTGGTAAAACTTACTTGCTAATATCCACGACATGTTTTCTTGCAGGCCAATTACTCTCACTCTTCTTTAAAAAATGCAGCTTCTTTTCATGGTCTCTAGTTAAGTAGTGTTCGCTGTTATCGTCTCAGATTCAGCTGTGGTAGGTCGTGGTAAGACACTTTGCTGCTCCAAATACATTTTATATCTTATCCATTCCTTGCTTTTAAGATTTTGTTTATTCATTCTATGAAGAGAACAAATGGGGATTGATATCAGTTTTTCTCTATGTAGCTACAAAAGGAGCTTGATGAGTATGAAAAGGAAATGTCACTCGTTGAGGCCATAACAGACAAAACAAGTCAATTCAAGTTCTTGCTCGATATCCTTAATTTCGCTAGCTAGTGAAGCATGATTTATATACTGAAAATTACAGTTGCAGTAATCATTTATCACATTTTCACCTATGATCGAGTTCTGTTCTTTTTGAGACGGTATGTACTTTGCAGCCAGCCATTCTCTTGCTAGGATATAAAAGGAAGCCAGTGCTTGTACTTTTCATTTTGACTTGCCATTCTTTTAAAAGAATAGTTTCCTTGCCAAATTTCAAGCACATTTTGTTGGAACAGATATTGGCTTCACTTGGGGAGGAGCTAGATCTCAGGTACCTATCTTTCCCACTTTCCTCACGGTTTTATATATAGTCATTATCTAGTAGAAGCATTTGAAAAACTCACTTGCTTTACTTATACAAAGACAACCAACGACAAAGAAGAGAACCAAACTGCAGAGGATATGGAGAAGACAGTTATGTGAAGACGTCAAACTATTTTTTTGGAGGGAGAGAAAGAGCAAACCAATGGAGTTCTTCGTTTAGTCCATATGAATTGTAGTACTTATGATGTTGTTTAAGACTTTGTTTTAACAAATGGTGTTGAATGCTAAACTATGTATTTTTTGATGATCTATGGAAAGAAACATGCTTTTAACAAATTGGTTTTGTAGCATATAATTAATTGGATTTAAAATCTATATATTTTAATTGCATATAATGTAGGTGCTATAACAAAGCATTTTAATAAAGCTATGGTAGAAAGTACCTATAATAACACGAAAAATGATTTATTACATAATAAAAAAAAAATTTGAAGGTGCTATAACAAAGCATTTTACTAATGCTATGGTAGAATACTCTATAATAGCATACGGAAAAAACGTTATCGTACGTGGGGGTCTATCATAACAGTGGCCTAACATAACATTTATGAAAACGCTATTGATGACATATAATAGCTTTTCTCTCATGCTAATAATGTAGATATTTCTTGTAGTGATATATACTTCAAACTCATGTGATCCGTAAATAGTTAAAATTTTCCCACGTACAAATATGAAATATGATCTCCGAATCCTAAGGTAAAGCATAGGCATGAGAATCAAAGACTATGTTTGTGAAATAAGATTGAATTGGAATTTAAAAGGTAAAGTAAACTAAGATACAATGAACTATAAAATATAAATTGCATAAAGATGACAATGTCTCAAAATGATAACGCCGAAAAAGCAAATTTTTAGCTTCAAGTATATTTTCTTCACTGCACAAGTCATTTTGAGTTAAGTTGTAGGTTGTTAATAAATTCATCAAACTTTTATATTTCCTGAGGGCCGGCATGGAGCGAAGTTTCCGCTATTGGTTCTCTGCTTTCAGCCACATCTCCATAATATTCTCTTGCACATCTCACCGTGCAGCTCTTCTGTAATTTTCTTAGAAAATATTCATACCAATAGTTATTGACATTTCTTGACCAAATAAATAATATAGTTATTGACTTTTTATTAGATTTTGAAATTGTATCATTAGCCTGTTTATATTTGAATTTCTTGATCCAAGTGTAGTTGCTGGATTAAAAAGAAAATTTCACCAATATATGAAGTAGCTGGCTTATCATACTGATGACAACTAGTTCTCTAATTATGTCTGTTATAATTGCCATTACGTTAACACAGTCAATTAATACAAATGTATTTTAATTCCATAGAAACAATTTTTATATAATACTAGTATTATTATATTTTGAAATTATATGATTTGCCATTTTACATTGACATCGAATTTTTTGATCTCTGTGTTGCTACATTTATAAGAAAATAATCTCACCAATATATGAAGTAGTTGACAAAACGACTGATGACAATTATTTCTCTCTTGACATGATGACAAATTGACAAGTAGTATTTATTTATTAAGTGCATTATAATTTTCTTTACACAATTAACTAATACTTCTTCCGTGTATGTCGTTTTATATTTAAAATTTTGTTATAAATAAGTGTCGTTTTGTATTTTCAATGTAGATATTTGAGAAAATTTTCAGTTTTATCTCTATTATATTAATGTGTTGACCAATTAAATTTTTTGTATAATATATTAATAAGGGGTCAAACAGAATATTTAATAGTTTTCTTAATAAATATGAGAAAACTTTAAACGATACTTATAATGAAACAGATCGGGAGTACAAATTTGTTACTGTAATTTCATCGAAACAGTTTTATGATAGCAACTGACTTTTATTAGATTTGGAAATCATACAACTAGACGAGCCAGAGCTCTTATTGCAAATAATTGAGATTCATAATCTCTTTTTTTTTTTTGGCAAACCAAATACCTAATTAAGCAAAGTTAGAGGCAAAAGCCAAGAGATTCAGAATCTTTAACTCTTTTCTTTTTCCAGATTTCAAAGGAACAAAGCCAAGAAATATTGGCTAGAACTATAGGATGGGTGTTGCTTAAATGGTAAGTTTCAGGTAGGTGGGATGGAGAAGTTGATGATTAATTAATAATTACCATGAGCTTGGTTGTCCATCGAGAGACTTAAACAGAATCACCTTCTTTTTTTTTTTTAATTTCTTTATTATACAACATTTTTAAGGATTCAGAACCTAAAAACATAACAACATTCTTGGCTTCAAAGAAAAAGAAAAAACATTGTTTTTATTCTAACTAGTTTTGAATTTGGGAATAATTGAATCTAAATGCAGAATCGAACCTCAAATTCAGCAGCCTTTAATTTGTTCTTTCTCACTAGCATCCACGTCTGTCCCGTGCCCGTTACAGACCTAGAGACACATGAAAAGGTTGTGGAAGACCACTATCACTTTCACTTTGGTTCACCCATAAGTAGCATTCTTTTAATGTTGCTCTAATTGGCTTTAATTTTTAACTTCTTTTGGGCCAACGAAGCTCATGCCTATAGGCCTATAGCTTTTTCATCAATTTTTGGTCAGATTTTAAAAATTAATGGATAAAAATGAAATTATTGAAGATTTTAAAAGAAACCTCCCCATACTTTTATTTTATGTACATAAGATTTAATTACCGACTTAACTCTTGAGAATTGAGAGCATGATGCAACGCCTTGGGCGATACGCAATAAAAAATCTCCTGTCCAGGAGATCACCGTTGATTCGATTCGCCGGAGCCCTAACGTCACTGGAGCTAAATAACACTTTACATAGTCGGATCATGGCGTTGGGACGGGAACGAAAGAAGGTTGCTCGGCTTCATCTCATTGACAACGTTTTAGGTTTGGAAGAAGCAGAGAAATTCTTCGAAACCATTCCCCAAGACAAGAGAGATGACTCTGATCTCTACACAACTATCTTAAGCTTCTACACAAGATCTGCGAAAACTCTGGAAAAAGCTGAGTTAATCTTCCATAAGATGAGGAAGCTCGGGTACCTATCGAAACCGTGTCCGTTCAACCACATGATGTCTCTCTACAATCAGATAGGTAAGCGAGATATGGTCCACCAGATTCTGAGCCAAATGGAGAAGAACAATGCCAAGTCAGACAATCGCACGTTAAACATTATACTGGGGCTATTAGCAGAATCTCATAGCTCAACATTGGATTGGCGCATGAGCTGCGAGATGGCAAAAACTTACCTAAAACAAGGATTAGTGGTAGAGGCCATAAAGATGTTGCGTAGAGCCGAAGAATCAGTAGTAGATCCCGACTCGAAGAAGTTAGTTTAAGAGTCACTGATGGTGTTGTATGGTGAAGCCGGAAAGGCTGAAGAGGTTTACCGTATATAGGGACTGTACAATAACATGAGCTGGCGTCAGAGAGTAGACGACGAGGAGGGATATAAATCAGTAATAACTGCCTTATTGAAACTAAACGATATCAATGGGGCAGGTACGATTGTAAACAAGTGGTACGGGAAAGATGTCAGAATCATAACTATGATGGCATCTGCTTACTGCGAGAAAGGGCAGCTAAAAGACGCTGAGGAACTGTTGTGTTGGAAGGGTTTTCGTTTCATTCCCAAAAAAGTTTTCCTGGCTTTTGTCGTATGTTACGGTTACACGTTATACTTTTTTAGGGCTAATAATAGATTAGCTTTTCCTACTCATGATGCTTTTATCTTTTTAACTTAACTGAATTATATTGCAGATTTGAGGGGGTTTTTTTCTATTGTTTTGAGACTACATGATTTAGAAACAATGCATCGTCCTTTAAGCTAGATTTATAATTAACAAACACATCTTCCATTAGTTCGAAACTTTCAAGATTCTGTCCTATGCATCATCATCATCAGTAGATGTTTCTTTTTGTGGTTTTCACTTACACAAAACTGAAAACCATTACCAAATTGTTCATTCATCCTAAAATTAATTGTCAAACTTGATGTCTCTTTTTGTTCGTCATTAAGATCATATATATGACGGTTTGATTTATTTTTTTCCGGCTAATTTTCATCTTCAAGCTTCTTGATTCTACAAATTTTTCGTCGTGTTCGCTTTATTTTCATCTTTTTTGTCAATATATCCACAATCGAAAAGATCGATATTAAGAAAATAATCATACTAATGAAAATAAACAAAATGACATGACACGAGACTAAGTAAAAAAAAAAAAAACCCCTGAAATCGATCTTAAGAGACTGATAACATTGCAACATATGACATGACACGTTGAAAGGCAGGCAATGAACACTCACGTCTTCACTTTGACACGTGTACATCACTCAAGCTTCACGTGGAACTACGTTAACAAGAGAGCTCTTCTTCATAAATTCTAGTACTCCAGCTTGCTTCTCTGCACTATCAACTTCATTCTTATCCGTTTGAATCATCATGTCAGGCGTGTCTCTTGCGGTTGGTCCAAGAAACGACGTGGACAAAACGGCTTCATCCAGTGAGAAGGGACGGTGGTCGGGGATGACGGCGATAGGAGGTGGCAGTGGCGGTTTGATGGGGTCGCTGAGGGTTATAGAGCTACAGCTAGTCGCGTTCATACTAGTCTTCTCAGCAAGCGGTCTCGTACCGATACTCGACATGCTTTTTCCAGCGTTTGCGTCTGTCTATATAATCGCCCTCTCGCGTTTAGCTTTCCCTTCTCACGGCGTTTCCACCTCTTCCCCTGAAATCTTCCGCGGCAGCAAACTCTTCAGGTTCCAAATCCATCACAAGAAATCAATGAAATCTCTCTTTTAACTTTCTTGATAAAGGTTACAAAATATTTTACAACTTTTAATAACATATCAGTACTCTTTTACTAAAAGTATATGATTTTTAATTTTTTTTGTTGGTTTGTTTTGTATTTTTTAGATTAATTGTAACATAACAGATTCTGACTACTATTTTTGTTTTCTGTTGTAATATTTTGGGATAATGAAAGGATGTACGTGATTTCGGGGACAACGATTGGTCTGTTTTTGCCTTTAGCTTACGTGTTAGGTGGTTTCGCAAGAGGAGACGATCAAGCGGTAAGATCAGCAACACCACACTTGTTTCTACTGTCGTGCCAAATCCTGACAGAAAATGTAATTAGTGGCCTTTCTCTCTTCTCGCCACCGGTAAGAGCTCTCGTGCCACTGCTCTACACAGTCTGGAGAATCTTTGTCATCATTGGTTGGTCTAAAGATGTCTGGCTCAACAAGTCTTTACCAATTAATGCTACACCCAATGTAATGGCTAATACCTCTCTTTACTCAAATGCAAGTCTTTTCTACAGTTTTAGAATTGGTTTACGTTAAATCCTGTGAAATCGTTTTGCAGGTGGTTGCGTGGTTCTGGTTTGGACGGTATTTAGCAATAGCAAACTTAGGCTACTTCGGAGTGAATCTACTCTGTTTCTTGATCCCTAGGTTCCTGCCTCGTGCTTTTGAAATCTACTTCAGAGAAAGAGACGAGATCATGTCGAAATGCCAAGAAGACAAGCCGGTTCAAGTTCCTCGATCAAAACCTTCTGACCACAAATCTGATTGATCATCTTTTTTTTTTTCTTCTGAATGTGTAAATGTAACGATCTAAGTTGCTTATTATGGAGATTGTAATGAAATTTTATTAGTAGGGCAAAAGAAACAATGTGGTTGTGAATGAACAAAGTTTTGCTCTTGCAACTGAAAATGTGATATCAATTTACCCACTTGATGATGCTTTAACCTTAAAAAAGAAACTTAATATTGACTATCCATGAAACTAACCAGAAGCTCATTCACCATGCCTCGGTCTGGCATCTTCCCTGCTGCTCCATATATTGGAGCCAAGCCTCCAGTGATCGGTCCTGGGTTTGCTTTCACCTAACAACAATTTTATAACAATGAGAAATCAATTGTGGAAATGGAAACGAGCAGTCAAAAGACTTTTTCATCAATGGACTTACAGTTTCTACAGCTTCACGCAAATCCCGAAGGAAGTCATCGACTACAGGGACGTGTTGAAGAGTTATACATATATGAATGCTGATCCAAAACACAGACATAGGTAGTTTCAGAACAGTGAAGAGAATGTGGTCTTAAACTAGTTGTTATAACACCAATGTGTTTTGGTCTTCAAGATTACCTGTTGGGTCTCTGTAGTGCATTCAAATGCCAACCTTTCGAAGACATGATGTCATTTACTTCAAAGATATCCAATGCTTTAGAACCAAACGCCACGATTGTCATATCTGGCTTTCCAATGACGAATAGTTCATGGATTTCTCTTACTCTGCAGATTACGATAGTCAAGGCTGTAAGCATTGAAACGACTGAAGAAGGGAAAAAGGTCAAAAAGTACTACAAACCCTTCCTCTAGTCTCTTTGATGCTTCCATTATCTTGCTTGTGTTTTGTAGGTAGCCTGTGGAACAACAGAAGCATACAGAATCAACCATTTTAATTTTTGGCACACTCTAATGACAGGAGCTTGTGAGAGTGAGATATCTATTGTGAAACCTTCTTCGCCGAGAGACATCATTGCAGCCCAAGCACCAGCAACCAAAGAACCAGGCCTGCTCCCAGCTATAGTTGGAGACACGTATAGACCTCCTGACCATTCAGTTACTGAAAAAAACCCAGTTTCAAATAGTTAAGGAGGAATACCGCATTTAGGATTTCCGATTTCAACAGTTTTATTGTTTCTTTCATTTCTTTTGTTGTCTTAGATATGGAAGTAGCAAAACACACTTACCAGCAACAAATTGGTGCTGTTTTGTAGATGCAGGAGCAGATATTTTGCAGGCAGAAAACCCAAATGTCAGGTAAAGATTATATTAAAATTCATGAATCGATATTTATAAAAAGAAACTACATTTTGCACAGCACTGACGACTAGAATATACAAATGTCTTAATAAGAGGAATGTGACAGCGTGAATGAATTTAGGGAAACGATGACGAGGAAACGAAAGTAAGCGATATCGTGGGTATGTTTTTGTAGATGACTCGTGACACAATAAGCATGCCAGAATCAGAACAGAGGAGCTGAATATAACCAATTCATATGTGCTTGGTATTGAGCCTGGAGAAATTGCATAAGAGTGGGAAAAAATAACAAGTATTTACCTTTCTGATCTCATGATTTCTGTAGAGAACTGTACTAGTTCCTTTAGGAGCCAAACCATATTTATGCACATCCACCGAAATTGAAGTAACTCCTTGTACAGAAAAATCAAAAGGTGGGATCTGGTACCTGGGAAAAAGTGAGAAATCACTCTTTATTATCTTGTGAATCTAAATAGTACAATGAAATGCAAAACCTGAGATCCAATGCTCCGGGGGAAACTAAGAGCAGTGGCAATAAAACAGACAGATATGAACAGAGCTTCTTAAGTCCTAAACATATAAAGTCGATACTATTTGCATCTCTTTTGTAGGAAAAAGGCAGGCCTTTGCTAAGTTGTTAGAAAAAAACAGTAACACATACCCAAGTTTACGAGCGAAAGGTAACACAAAACCACCAAGGCAAAGGTCAACATGAAAGCATATTCCATAGCTAAGAGCCAGTTGACCAAGCTCCTGTAATGGGAAAAAAACAGGAATATGTCATATAGAAGAACATAAATGTCCCTTAAATTACAGGAGACGGAAAATCCAGTTTACCTCGATAGGATCGATGATGCCATGAGGGAATCCTGGTGCTGATCCAACAATCTGCAACAATATGGTTTAAAAATAATGAGGAAAACAAAGCACACGCCTTAACTTTAAAGCTGCATTACCATAACAGATAAAAAGGTGATTATGCTAGTGAAATTAAATTTTCAACCATGGAAGTACAAATAAGCAAGGACTGGATATGTACAATAGACCAAAAATATCAAACCATGGAACCTGGAAAGGAAAAAATCAAACATATTATAACTGGCACCTCATAACATTACCATGATGGTGTTTTTGTTAATATGCCGCCTTGTTGCCTTCACATCAGCTCGGAAGTCTTTGTCTACTGGAACTCGCCACAACTTGATGTTAAAATACTGGGCCGCCTTATCATAAGCCGAATGACCCGATTCAGGTATAATCCTACACTTATATATGAAATGTTGTTCCATCAATTAAGATTATAGTAGTACAAAACTGATCAACGTAAAGTGAGGGAGGAAACATACATTTCTGGCCGTGTGATTCCCTTCTTGTACTTCATATAGTCACGAGATGACTTCACAGCCAACACTATACTTTCTGTTCCTCCAGATGTCATGTTTCCGCATATTTTTCCTCCTGAAACCGTTTCTTTACTCCCCAGTAATGCAGCAGTCATTGCGACT